ATTATGAAGCCACACTGACACTGAATGCTGAGCTTCCCTCCCCCACCCCCAACTCTGCCACTGGCCCCCACCAATCTGCTTACCCAAGCTGGCTTCAAGGTGCAGCCAGGCCCTGAATTTTAGGCAGACGACAGAAAGACGCTTTGGGAACTGGACCAGTCTAAGAAGTACAACTTAAAGATTGTGACACTAACAATTCTCCCAATAAATCTACCTCGTAGCCTTAAAACTAGAGTGAAACCTCAAACATCAAACATTAGCTCTAGACCCAGGCTTGCAGGATTTTTTTTTAACACTCATTTCTTATATACGAAGAGGTAATTAAACATAAACAACTGAGGAAACTCTTATCATTTATGTTAAAGGCTGAGATAAACACACTAACTAAGATAATAGCAGAATACTAGGAATGAGAAGAGATGAACCATGCTGCTCTCCACAATTTACTTCAAAGCCTATGAAAAAATAAGACTTGACTGATATATGGAAGAATAAATGGCTATATGATTAGTAAGTGAGAAGCCAAATAGAACAATTAGTCCCTGACACAACTCTTTTAGCTGTTGTGTTTGAAAATTTTTGTAATAAAATATAGGGGAAAAGGAAAGCAACTAAGAGGTATCTCAGGACTATACAAGGGGGAAAAATCCCCAAATACAACAATATATGGACTACATTATACAGAGTGATAGTGTGACAGGCATTCCAATTTTGAAAAATCTAATTTGTATTCCTCACTGAAAACACTGTATAAAGAAACCTGTGAATGTCATCTTTACCACCTACCTACTCCTCATGTCCATCCATCTCTTCCTGTGCCCTCTGCCAACTTCCCTCCTTCAGAATAATCATAGTTATGGACGATGTATATCTTTCCAAGGTTTATTTTTTTAAAAAAACCCTCCCCACCCCCCACTCCCCACCCAACCAGAAAAATGAGATAATACCCTACAAAAATTCTATAATGTTTTTTTCCATATAACATCATCTATAGATTACTGCATTTTCTCAATTGCTGAACATATTCCCCTATGCAAGTGTACTATAATTTGTTAATTTAATCTGTTGATTAAATTTATTATCTATATTATCTCCTAGTTTATTCATTTATTCATTCATGTTTAGATTTTTGATCAGGAAACATTTTAAATATATATATTTTTAATGTGTATTTTTGAGACAGAGACAGAGTGTGAGCGGGGTAGGGGCAGAGAGAGAG